TCTTTTATATCTCAAAAGAGATTGCATTAAGACACTATCTAATCTTGTCAACCTCATCAGTATAACCTCATCACAGTGATAGAATTTACAAAGTGTAAGGAGATCACATATAATCTCTTCATGGTGATAGAGTTTACAACACATAAAGAAATCATATCAGATAACACAATCATACAATACTGGAAATCATGACCTAGCCAAGTTGCTACACACATTTCTGGGGGGACACAATTCAATCCATGACAGTCGGGAATAACAAATTGAAAAGGAATGGAATCACATTCATCGTCAAAAAGAACATTTCAAGATCTATCCTGAAGTACAATGCTGACAATGATAGGATAATATCCATACACCTACTAGGAAGACCAGTTAATACGACTATTATTCAAATTTATGCACCAACCACTAAGGCCAAAGATGAAGAAATTGAAGATTTTTACCAATTTCTGCAGTCTGAAATTGATCAAACATGCAATCAAGATGAATTGATAGTTACTGGTGATTGGAATGTGAAAGCAGGAAACAAATAAGAATTGGTAGTTGGAAAATATGGCCTTGGTGATAGAAACAATGCCAGAGATAGCATGATAGAATTTTGCAAGACCAACAAATTCTTCATTGCAAATACCTTTTTTCAACAGCATAAGTGGCAACTGTACACATGGATCTCACTGGGTGTAATACACAGGAACCAAATCAACTACATCTGTGGAAAGAGATGATGGTGAAGCTCAGTATCATCAGTCAGAACAAGGCCAGGGGCCAACTGCGGAACAGACCGTCAATTGCTCATATGCAAGCTCAAGTTGAAGCTGAAGAAAATTAAAACAAGTCCATGAGAGCCAAAGTACGACCTTGAGTACATCCCATCTGAATTTAGAGACCATCTCAAGAACAGATTTGACTCATTGAACACTAATGACCAAAGACCAGAGGAGTTGTGGGATGACATCAAGGACATCATACATGAAGAAAACAAAAGGTCATGTAAAAGACAGGAAAGAAAGAAAAGACCAAAATGGATGTCAGAAGAGACTCTGAAACTTGCTCTTGAATGTAGACACCTAAAGGGAATGGAAAAAATGATGAAGTAAAAAAGCTGAACAGAAGATTTCAAAGGGTGGCCCGAGAAGACAAAATAAAGTATTAATGAAATGTGCAAAGGTCTGGAGTTAGAAACCCAAAAAGGAAGAAGACCCTTGGCATTTCTCAAGCTGAAATGACTGAAGAAAACATTCAAGCCTTGAGTTGCAATATTGAAGGACTCTACAGGGAAAATATTGAAAGATGCATGAAGCATCAAAAGAAGATGGATGGACTACACAGAGTCGCTGTCACAAAAAAAATTGGTCAATGTTCACCCATTTGAGGAGGTAGCATATGATCAAGAACCCATGGTACTGAAGGAAGAAGTCCAAGCTGCACTGAAGGCATTGGTGAAAAACAAGGCTCCAGGAATTGACGGAATACCAACTGAGATGTTTCAGCAAACAGATGCAACCCTGCAAGCGCTCAGTCATCTATGCCAAGAAATTTGGCAGACAGATACCTAGCCAACCAACCAGAAGAGATCCATATTTGTGCCGATTCCAAAGAAAGGTGATCAAACCAAATGCGGACATTATTAAACAATATCATTAACATCACAGACAAGTAAAATGTTGCTGAAGATAATTAAAAAATGGCTGCCCAGTACATCAGGGAACTGCCAGAAATTTAAGCCAGATTCAGAAAAGGACTTGGAAAGAGGGATATGATTGATTGCTGATGTCGGATGGATCTTGGCTGAAAGCAGAGAATACCAGAAAGATATTTGTTCTTGTTGTTGTTAGGTTCCGTCAAGTCAGTTCCGACTCATAGCGACCCTATGTACAACAGAACGAAATACTGGCTGGTCTTGCGCTGTCCTTACAATCCTTGCTATGTTCGAGCCTATTGTCACAGCCACTGTGTCAGTCTATCTTGTTGAGGGTCTTCCTCTTTTTCGATGACCCTCTACTTTACCAAGCATGATGTCCTTCTGCAGGGACTGGTCCTCTTGATAACATGTCCAAAGTACATGAGACGAAGTCTCACCATCCTTACTTCTAAGGAGCATTCTGGCTGTACTTCTTTCAAGACTGATGTGTTTGTTCTTTTGGCAGTCCATGGTATATTCAATATTCTTTGCCAGCACCGTAATTAAAATGCATCAGTTCTTCTACTTGTGTTTTATTGACTATGCAAAGGCATTTGACTGTGTGCATCATAACAAACTATTATAACATTGCAAAGAATGGGAATTCCAGAACACTTAATTATTGCTCATGAGGAAACTGTACAGAGACCAAGAGGCAGTTATCCGAACAGAACGAGGGAATACTGAGAGGTTTAAAATCAGAAAAGGTGTGCATCAGGGTTGTAACCTTTCACCATACTTATTCAATCTATGTGCTGAGCAAATAAGCCAGGAAATTGGACTATATGAAGAACAATGTGGCATCAGGATTGGAGGCAGACTCATTAACAACCTGCATTATGCAAATGACACAACCTTGCTTGCTGAAAGGGAAGAGGACTTGAAGCACTTACTGATGAAGATCAAAGACCACAATGTTCAGTATGGATTACACCTCAACATAAAGAAAACAAAAATCCTTACAACTGGACCAATAAGAAACATTGTGATAAACGGAGAAAAGGTTGAAGTTGTCAATGATTTTCTTTTACTTGGATCCACAATCAATGCCCATGGAAGCAGCCCACAGGAAATCAAATGACGCATTGCATTGAGCAAATCTCCTGCAAAAGACCTCTTTAAAGTGTTCAAAAGTAAAGATGTTACTTTAAGGACTAAGGTGTGCCTGACCCAAGCCAGGGTGTTTTCAATTGCCTCATATGCATATGAAAGCCGGACAATGAATAAGGAATACCTAAAAAGAATTGATACCTTTAAATTATGGTGTTGGTGAAAAATACTGAATACACCATGGACTGCCAGAAGAACAAACAAATCTGTCTTGGAAGAAGTACAGCCAGAACGCTCCTTAGAAGCAAGGATGGCAAGACTTTGTCTCACATACTTTGGACATGTTATCAAGAAGGACCAGTCCCTGAAGAAAGACATCATGCTTGGTAAAGTAGAGGGTGATAGAAAAAGAGGAAGACCCTCAACGAGACGGATTGACACAGTGGCTGCAACAATGGGCTCAAGCAGAACAATTGTGAGGATGGCGCAGGACCAGGCCGTGTTTCATTCTATCGTATATGGGGTCGCTATGAGTCAGAACCGACTCGACGACACCTAACAACAACAATCTGCTGCCAAAATTACACATTCTGTGTTTAGTTTAATTATTGTATTTAAACTTATGGAAGTTTTCTTTTTTCCTTTTTAAAATACACTGACGCATTCTATAGTTTCTTCTACACTACAGATATTTTCAAGCTTGTAGTTTATTCTGTAAAACTAGTAAGCACATCTGTTTTATAATCTACACCTGTTAGTTCCATATCTGAAGTCTGAGCATGTCTATTTCATCTGTTTTCTCTCCCATTATTGCTTATGCTGGTTCTTACTCATATGTATCTTGTTTTCTTGTGCTTGATTATCTTTGACTATGTGCTGTTCATTGTCCTTGAAAAATATTATTAATAATTCCCTGAGGTCTAGTAAGAACATGCCTTACTCTGGAGATGCTCTGTGTTTGCTACTGCCGGATACCTAGGGGCACTACTGCGCTGGGACTTCCTCAAATCCTGAGTCACCCAAGCAAACAATTCTGGGATATAAATTTCCTATAGCCACAAATTTTAAGGACACGATTTTTTTCCTTTTCTTTCTTTTTCTGATCACTCAATGGCTTCAGTCCCTGAAGGGTGAAGTGTTGAGGAAAGGGCAAACTTAGTCCTGGTCTACCCTTACCCTGAGAGTATAGTTTTCGGATAGCATTGATTAATGTAGAGAGGCTCTCCTATTTAATTCTCTACCTTGAATTCTCCCTCCATTCACTAGGTTGAAAAATGCCTTTACAGACAAAGTAGATTATGGGCTCTGATATTCTGTCTTACTTTCTACAGTCCCAGTTTCCCTCAGTATATGGACTGGCAGTTCCCACTATGTCTGTTACTTGATACTTTTAAGGTGGCGTTTAAAATATCTGATATTTTTAGTATTTCTTGTTTGCTTGCTTGTTTTTAAGAGGGAGATTTTGTTCATATAACCTAGTCCACCACTACTGGAAATGGAAGTATCCAAATCATCTCTTAATTATTTACAATGATGTGCTTTTTTAATAGATGGTCACATTCACAAAATATATATTTTAAATAGTTCCATTGTGTGGTTATTTTCAGTATATATAACTCCACATAATACACATATACGTAGGTCAAGTTACAGACCCAAGTTCAAATGCTATTTAAATTACAACTAATAAGCAAAGCTTGGAGAATGTAGTTATATTTCACAAAAGATAATGTTAAACTTTTAGAGCTTAATTATGTGTAAGAGTATTCTTATAAAGTTATTTTTATGATTACATATAAAAGAAAGGATAGCCCTTGATAGAATACAGATATAAATATGACTATCAGCCCTTTCTATGAACATGGAACTAGATTCATTTTTAATTTAATGACCTTCACAGTCTTCAACTTTATCACAAAAGAGTGTACATTTTCTGTTACACCACTTCCAGTATCTGAGAAAATAAACCTTTTCTCAGAAATAAGTTTTTTTTTCACTAAGGTTGTTATTTAGAGGCACGTCGTCTCTCTTCTTATCACAACTGATTATACAGAACCAAATTTAAGTGATCTTTCTCTTTGTCACTCTTTCTCGCAATACATATATATCAGGAATTCTGAAAGGTAATATAAGGATACAGAGATTGTAGTTACTATACTTTAAAAACGTAGGGCTTAGCTACATAAAACAAAACGAGACTAATGGGACACAACAGTCCAGGGACAAGGACTAGAAGGCAGGAGGGGACAAGAAAGCTGGTAATAGGGAACCCAAGTTTGAGAAGGGACAGTGTTGACATGTTGTGGGGTTGTTAACCATTGTCATAAAACGATATGTGTACTAACTGTTTAATCAGAAACTATCTGGTCTATAAACCTTCACCTAAAATACAATCAAATATACATATATAAATATACATATATAAATAGACATAAATATACATATATTTTAAAAAATTTAGGGCTTATAAGTTTCTGCCTTCTGTAGCATGTATGTTCTATAAATGGCGTTACCCTGAGAATATAGCATCCTTATGGAATGCTAAAAACTGAGGTGAAAGGTATCTCAGAGGAAAGAAAACAACATGATCATATGCAAAAAGTAGATGAGCATTTACCAAAAAAAAAAAATTACTCAAAAACAACAGACAATACGGTATGTGTCCTAATTCAGAAACCACAAGAAAGAAATAAAAAAGGTCAGAGACAAGGTTATTACAAAATAAAGTGAAACAAGTTTGCTAAGCTCCGAAAATAAATAGAACATAAGAATATTACAATGACGAAAGCCAAATGAGGCGGGAGAGAGAGGCAATATAAATGAAAGTACTATGATGGTATAAGATTAAAAGGAAAAATAACAAAATGTAACAAAGTACATCTAATATATACATAATTGGGGTTTCTGAAATAGAAACGAAACTGGGGAAAAGAGCTAAATATATATTTTTTCTTAGCTAAAGGAAAATTTAAATCTGTCTTGAAAGTATGCATTGTGTCGTAGGAAAACTTGATTTTGAGTGATCAGCATTAACATATACCCTAATGAAGGTGTTTTATGTGAATGGACATGGAAAGTAATAGGCTACTAACGTGCCCCCCCCCAACCCCTTTCCTGCTTTACATAAACTTTTTTCTTTTCTTTTTTAGTATGTAACATTTTCTCAGGCTGTAAATTATGAGGCAGTAGATGATTACTTCAAGTTACAGTAAGTATGATTTTTAAAAGAACCTATTCAATATTAAATATGCTACTCAGGTTATTGATTTGTAGGTATTCATCTATTTAAATGGCCTCCTAGCCTTTTAAATATCCAGAATTCAGATTCCTTTAAATGCCTGAATAGATGCAAAATTACTATTTAAATGTATAAAAATGTAATATATTCCTGGTAGTTAAACAGAAACCTGACCCTGTCTGAAGGTTCTCATTCATCCAAATGAAGATGGGGAAAAAAACGAGTTATTTCTTAATTCTGTAATTTTCAAGCGTGTTTTATCATTAATTCCTATCCCAAAATCTTGTCATATGATACTTAAGTAAAAACAAGAGCTCTAATATCACAGAAAGGTTTAAATGTGAGTAGAGTCAGATAAAACACCACCCTTGACCCTTGGGATAACATAGCACTTAAGCACTTAAAATTTCTGGAGGAAGACAGTCGGTCTGGCATTGTGTCTTGAGGCATTTATATGGTTGTCTTTGGAGTCCCTGGGTGGTGCAAAAGTTTAATGAGCTTGGCTGCTAACTGAAGGCTGGAGGTTTGAGTCCACTCAGAGGCAACTCAGAAGAAAAGCCTATCGATCTGCTTCTAAAAGATCAGCTCCTGAAAACCCTATGGAGCACAGTTCTACTATGACACGTATGGACTTGCCGTGAGTCAGAGTCGACTAGATGGCAACTGGTTTTATGGTTGTCCTTATTGCCTGACTCAGTATTTTCTGGAAAAATGACATTTTTATACGAAAAAGTCCATTTTTCTTTAGTCTGCTGCTAGTCCAAGTGAGTTTGAGTACCCACTATATGCCAGGTACTTTCTAAGTGTTTAAAGTACACAGTGAACAAGAAAGGTGAAGTACTCTTCTCATGGAACATATCTTTAGTGGGAGAAGACAAACAGCAAGTAAACAAATAAAAACAAGATAATTCCAAATGGTGATAAGTGCTATGAAGAAAATAAAGCAGGATGATGTGATAATGGCCAGGAAGGGTAGGGAGAAAATGATACTTTAGCCACAATAATCGGAGGAGGCTCAGTTCATTTCTTTTTCCTTCACCCACCAACTTCTCTCTTGGTTCATCTAATGTGGTGGGTACCTTTGGGTATTTTTGATTTTGTGGATATTTGCTCAGAATTCTGTAGCTGTAGAACAGACATAACATCATCCAGAATACTTTAGGTCAGTCTGAAGTTTGAGTGAAAATATCAAAAGCTTTGAAATCAGCCATGGAAGGAAAAAAAAAAAATCTACCTATAAAAGGAGAAATTGTGTAGCAAATTGAAGATGCGATATTTCCTTTAGTATCCTTCATAAATCTACACAATATTACGGAATTTATCAAGATTCCATCAAATCGTAAGACCCCTAGTACTTTTTGTATCACTAACAAAACTCAACTAAAAGCCTGTTATGCTTGTTGTGGATGTTAGTTGCCATCAAGTCGGTTCCAGCTCATGGCGACCCCCCTTGTGTGCAGAGCAAAACCGCTCCATAGGGTTTTCAAGGCTGTGAACTTTCAGAAGCAGATTGCCAGGCCTGTCTTCCGAGGTGCCTCTGGTGGATTTGAACCACCAATCTTTTGGCTAGTATTCAAGGGTTTAACCATTGGCGCCACCCAGAGACTCCTCCTGTGCTTGGAAGACACCGTAATTATAAGATGCTTGTGATTTCAAAGGTGTTAGTCTTCGAATTGGTGGAACATAGCAGTTGTTTAAAAATGTGCTATCTGTATCCTCACTTATCTATTATGTTTTATATGATAAATTAATAAATATAGAAAGGTAATTAATGCTGAAAGAAACAGGACATTTGTTGGTGGTTAGTTTTGTGTGTGTGTTTGTTTTCTCCCAGTTTTTCTGGAAAAGTAAACATCTTAGTAGGTGTGGGGTGTGAATAAAGATTTCAAAATTTCTCCTTTTGTCATTGTTGAGTCCTCGCATTTTGCCTGAACACAAAATGATCCACGTGCTCTTCAGAGACTTGAAAGGCATTATGTTTGACCTACCTTGTGATACTAGCCAGCACATATTATGCAACTTAATGTGGTTCAGAAAACGAATTTCATAACTTAGTCTTTATTGTCCCAAAAGTGTATCAACAGGGAGGTGAGGGAGAATCTGTAGAGTCTACAAGAGGAACCAATGCAGTAGCCACAGGCTTACAGTCCCATCAGGAAGTAGCACAAGATGTCACCAGCAGATCTCCATCCTCCAGGGACTGGGGGTGTTCATGAAATAGAGCGTGGGAATGCTGATAGAAGCCCATTCCTGCTTCCCATTGAGCCAGCCCTCTGCCAGTCAAAGCATGGACACCAAGAGATGGGAGTGACTCTAAGAAATGACCACAATGCAGAGTTGCCTTAGCAGAAGCAGTAAACAGTTACCACCACACACTCTAGGCCTCTAGAATTCATGGTGGATTCAATCCTATTGTGTGCATAGGACTTTTCATCTGTCTACACCAAGACAGATTCAGGTCTACCTCTCCTGTAATTCTATACTAACCTGCATGAGTTGTTTCTCCTAGAGACCAGACCTCGGGTCTTGTGCTTTTCAATTTCCGGCCTAGTAAATATTCAAAAGCATGTACAGCACCCAAAAAGGTAAGTGACACAAGTAGAAGATGGAAAAGTTTACTTCAAAAGTTCATAGGTGGTAAACTATGAATTATAATGTATATTACCTCCATATAATACCACTCCCCTAATTCTTAGCAACATTTCATGATGTTTCACTGTAGAGATAGGATTATTATTTTTTTATTATTGTTGTAAAAATACATATACCACAACATTTGCCAATTCAACTTTTTCTTGGGTGTACGATTTAGTGATACCAATTACATTAATCATGTTGTGCAACCATCTCCCATTTTACTTAGATTTATTTTACTTTGGAAACAGAAGTTCAGATTTCTGCCTTCTGTGAGTTTACCATCTAAAGTGAGATATAAAAACATATACAAAAATGTAAAATTAATAGTTTTTGAAGATAAATAAAAATGTGTAAAAGAAAACAAAAGTCCTTGC